TTTAAATGTTAGTGGTGTAATGTTAAGTGTTAATTATATTTAAAACCAATTGTAAATCATGAAAAGTTCGCTAGAGATGAATATATTCTAGAAGCCAAATTTATAGATAATAATAATGCTTCACAGCCCATTCCTATCACCGAACATAGCGCCTCGGTAGCAAATAAAAGAAGCAAAAACCAATTGGACATAGACAACCCGTAGAGAATCCGTCAGCTGGAGAGGACAGAAATCCTTCTCTTCCACCCACAGTCCGACCTAGGGGTCACAGCCTACGTATAGAAACAGGACGAATATTTCAAACTAACATCTTCGACTAGAAAACTGCCATTGTGAAAATTTCACATACGTTTCGCATCATTAATTTTAGCTAGACATTAAACACAACGGGGATAAATGTATCTTTACTCGTCCCTAGTTATTGGTCTAAATTAATAATAAGATAGAATCGTAGAGATTCGAAATATATTCGATATGGCTATTCATCTTATAAACGAAAATAAATAAAAAAATAATAGAGACTATATCTCGAAGCGATGCGACGCGGTCATTTACAGCTGTCATATTTCTCAACTCGACCTCTATACGCTTCTGTTGCTATGACAACTAGTTACCGCTGGAACGTGAACCGCTTCTCGAATAAACAAAATTATAGGTCCTTTATCATAATACGTCTATTAGTAATAATTCTTTGGCCGAGGTTGGTATTAATATATTTCATTCGCCATCGTCGCCGTATTTGGCCTTGTTATTTTATTATTCGATTCGATTGGCTTTATCGCCATTCATCTGTGCGAAGTTTCTTGTAAAACCAAAATTAATTGATTGTAACCCAGTCACGCAATTTCCTTATTTGAATTTTGTTATAATTTATTAACCGGAAGTGATCGTTTCTTTATATATTGAATAAATTTTAAAAATGTAAAATTTGGCAAGCTTTCAACTTCCTGTGCATTCTTTCTCGCATAACGTATCGATTAGACACGATATAACAACATTAAATTCACTTTGTATTTAAGCAGCCTTGTTAATTGTTAATTTGATAATCTCGTTGAAAAGCTCTGCTTGGATATTATCCAGTTCTATTCTGTAATTTATTTTTGCCCATTTCAGAGTTCAAGCATAAAGATAGAGAAGCATCTCGAGCTTAAATTCGTCGTCATTATGGAATGTCACTAATAAACTCTTTGTTAATTTCAAACCTTTGTTCAAGCAAATTGTTTAAGACGATGTCAAATTTTTAAGTCTTTTGTACAGTATATTATATTTTCCTATTAAAATATGAAGATTTTGAATATGAGTTCAAACAAAATACGTGCTAGACAAATAGAACACTTTTTCAGTCTCTTCTCTAGTTTTTTTCTGAGAAAAATAATACAAGTAGGCCATTTTGACTACATTTTTTTACATTTTGCAATTTCTTGTCTTAATCTTCAAATAAATATTATTCATTTATTAACATATTTTGTTATTTCCACAATTACTTTCATTAGCAATCTCCAGACATTAAGCGATACTTCAAACCGCTTATTACATCAATAATGATACTGTGTAATTCTAAAAAAACGTTTCGCATTGTTCACGCCACCGACGTTACAGAAACCGTGCAATTAGGTCTAAGCTCGAATGCAGTCTACCTTACCAGATGTCACAATCCCAGCATTCTGGACCAATTATAAATCGGTAGCCGAATCTAGGACTATTAAACTGATAATAAAAAAGCTAAACTACAAAATTAATAATAATCCCTTTGCTTCTCTGATTATTTTTAATTTATCGCAGAATATCTAACACCAAATAATGATTTTAATAAAGAATTTTAATTTCTTGATGCTAATGAATTATTTGTTAATATTGAAAGCTGTTATTCTTTTCAATAACCTATATTAATATTTTAAAATTCTCATTCTTTACACCACTAATTATTATTATTAAAGCCAACAGAGGAGTAAGGGAACTTAGTTATTAAGTTCACATTTATAACAGCATAATGTACGGAAAATAGTAAAGATATTTTCATAAATTGTCTTACTTAAAATTTATCTATTTAATAATATATAATATTTATTTTTAGATCAATATATCGCTTCATATTGCCAAGATCTATAAATGTAACTATTTAATATCATTTTAATATGAAATTATAGCTTTTTATAAATAAATAAGTTCATGTTGTGGTGCTAATTTATTAATTTGATTTGAATTTTAACAATTTCTGAAAAAATAAAATTATAGTTTATCTATACATCCTTAAATAGGATCCTAAAGTATGGTCAAAATCACATCGTGTAGGCTAATGATATTAATTGGGTACTGTCTACTGTATAGTTTATAGCTTTGATATAATCATTACTTTTTCTAATTATATGATATTTTAACGGTGGTTGGCTTAATTTATTCAATCACTCCCCTTCGAGGAAATTTATTTACTACGAGAACAAGGCCACATGACGTTATTGGGTAAGCTTCCATTAGCTGGTTAATTGGAGCCGGCAATGTCCTTTAATTTGATGAAGAAAAGCTGAAAAATCGATCAATCCGGTCAATGAAAATGTTATTTGGATTATCCCGGTAATAGTTTGATTGTTTAATCTTCACTACAGCTCATGTATAGCCAGGCAAACAGGGATATAGGAGCTTTATTCCGACTAACTATATTCGTCTCATTTTGTTTGGATAGAATATTCCTTGCTATATTTCTGAAGAAATAGTTAAAATTTTGTTATTTTTTCCATTTACACTCAAAAATTTCAATAATTTTTCCATATTCATGAATGATTATGTGTAACTTAAAAACAGAACTTAAGTCTAGAAACCATTTTCATTCATTTAATTCACAAACATAAACGAGCGTATAAATAGTTAATAACTGCAAACACTACTAAATATTTTCAATTTTCATTAATGATATTAAATAATTTAAAATAGAAAATAAATAAAATTGCAGCCATTCTTACCAGAGTAAATTTAAATTTATATAAATTCTAGGCCAGATAACATTTTAGGCCCTCAGAGGCAGAAAATGTTCTTTAAATATTGATTTTTACAGATCCATTTCGAGCTTCTTACTCGACTCAATTTTTAGAGAAAGTGAAGTACATGAAGTGGAGAGCGAAATCGAGTTCTGTCACTATAAAAGTAAGGTAAAACTCGACTGGAAGAACTCTATCACTTTCACGAAACAGAAGTTAATGTATTTTCCATTTTCCGCTTTGTATGTTTATTGTATCGGGTAAGGAAATCTGTTTTGCGCTTCAAATAATAATTATTACAAAATATAATAAATATGAAACTCGATCACGTTTATACAAATATTTTGTTAATGTTCTTTAAAGGTTGTTTAGCTTATGCAAGACGTTATTTGCCTGACGATCATTAGCTATGAAATCAGATATCTTAAAACTTCATATCGTTAGAAATGATTGCGTTTAGTCTCGTTAGAAATGAAAATTTACAAGAGAATATTATATTTGTGAATATTTAATGTGAAATGAATGGAAAAAAATTTTCATAATCTTCTTAGATTGCGAATAAAAAAAAAGAATGTTCTCCTCCCCTTGAAGAATGTAGTTTAACAACTGAAGAATAAGTACCTCTACATATTGAGCTTAGAAAGAAATAATCCATCAGAAATAAATTTTTCGATGAGAAAAATTGTTACATATCGCCTAGCAATAAATTTTAGTAATGTCACGTAGGCCGTTTTAAACCGCAATTTTATCGAGAGTAATTATATTGTTGTGGGGTTATAAATAGCGAATTTTCAATTTTATGAGCATTATGATGGGCAATTTCTCTACATATTCTGCTCCATTAACTTATATCCCCTCTAGAATGCAATCGCAAACTGCTATATTATAAAGAAATGGCGGATCTTTCTGGTATACTCTAAGAATTGTGCAATAACTTAACATTAGAGTAACGAGATTTCATTTTGACAGCGGATAAATAAACTAATAATTTACGAATATACTGAATTTGGCGACTGACTTTTCGGTTCAGAAGTTTCAAATCATAAACATGTAAGTTTATATAGAAACAAAAGAAATTGTAAAAGATGTTACCTGTGATACAAGACGAACTTGTTCCCATCAGACCAAGACTTCCGCCATAAAAAAATCAACCTTTCCAATAAAACCAATCTCGCAAAACAACAATAAACAGTAAAAGTGATCGCCCAAAAAATTTTCCGCTTCTGAATGGTGATCAAGGGTTTTAACCGAAAGAATTTCTTCGCTTTGTATCATTACACTGCACCCACGCAATCAAGAAAAATCTAACATCGCGTGTTGATAAAATAAAGACCCACCCAATCTGGTACCATGTGATCTGACACATTGCATTATTAAAAGCAGGGTATTGGCCATTATGGATATGAGATATCACCCCGATAGTGAAATAATTAGCATTCTCCTCTTAAATTTCCGAAATTTAATAGCCTGGGAGAAGCAATATAGTAATTCCAAATTGAACCTTTCACGAAATTCTTCTCTCGTTTCTCGTAGCGTGCAAGTCTCATTAACTGTTAAGGTAAATGAAAATATTTAAATTTCTATTAATTACCGCTAACAAGAAGGGGGATTTCTCAATGATTTTACCACTCGGAGCTACTTTTCGTGGAGAATACAAACGAGGGTGCTGCGGCACGCTGCGATATGATCATTTATGATGCGGCTACTGAATCAACTACAATCGATTTAGCCACTTGGTAACTCCTAAAATGAGTCTAATTATCGTCATTTGTGGTATAAATCACTTTGCTCTGCCATCTACATTTACGCCAAATTGTATTTTTAACGTCAAAGTTCAAGCTGATTACACCGACGATGTAACAGTTGGTAAAAGTTTAAACGCATTAATTCATGAATTAAACATTTACATTCAAATTTTAACGATTTTATATTTTAAAATGAGGTATTAATTATATAATATAAATATGAAATGCCATTAAGTGTAAATATAATAATTCTATTCAATTATTATTATTTTTTTCTTTTCAGCTACTCCGAACACATAAAAGAAGAGAATTTGCAAAGTATTTAAATTTTTCTTGTAGATAAAAACACTAAAAAAACTATCTAACAGAAACATCGCTATTCCATCTCTAAGATCTAAATGTATTAGATTTTAAGTGTACGTATTTATCACATTCGGCTACGCATTTGAGCAATTTAAATTGTTCAGATGCATAGAGAATGGGATAAATACATGGAAATTCGTTTCCTTCATTATCCATCTAATTTTGAGACTGCAGTTACGAAAAAAATCTCCCTACAAAAAACAGAATCTCACGAGGAAATGATAACCAATGCAATCAAAGAAAGATCCGCGAAGTAATTCCATCTGTCCTATTGTGAACAAATATATATCCAGTTAGCCAGCATAAATCTTAACTTTCTGACGGTATCAGACAGTCACGATCCTATCATTAACGACTGAGGTAAAAATATTGTCGATCGAGTGTGGTTGCATACAAAATCTTTTATAATATTTTGTTAACGTTCTGAATTCGTGTAGAAATCGAAAAGAAACCCTTAGGGACGATTGGTGACTAGTCCGTCAAAATCCCTCCTACCGTTTCCCCCTTCGCCCCCGACTGTCCAAAATCCAATAAATGATAATTAACAGTACACTGTAGACAATATATGACTCAGTATTCTCAGCAGGGAACTTTCCAATGTTGTAAATCCCACCTATAGATGTTGCATGAGTCACTCACATCCTTCAGGTAAATAACTAATAAACTTTTCGTTATTATTTTGAAACTGTATTGTCATCTTCGACCTTGTTTTGTAATATTTTCAATTTGAACTATTATTTTTTTCAATTTTAAAAAATTTCGTCTTAAATATTAATAGAATCTTTTCATATATTACGAAAATTTGATATTGGGATACGCTATTGGTTGATTAGATGCGTTAAAATCAAATTTGACCAATCGCCTGGAGTTTTACCAATTTCCACCGATGGAATTTTAACAGATGTACAGTACGTATTCAGCTTTACTGCAGCGGAATGTTTTTCTTCTTATTTTAAATTAAAGTTTGAATTTAATTTAAAATTGAAAATAAAAAAATTAAGATAGTGTAACTAAAAGTTATTTTCACGCACAAAAAAAGAAAGAAAATGATTTATTCATAGAAAAATTATACATTATTAATGTGAGATATAGCGATGTCGAAATTAAACAATGTATAAAAATAATGTAAATAAAAATTTTTTCAGCGTTTAATTTTATGTGAAAGTATGAAATTGAAATATTCTTCGATGCGCCTTAAGCAATATAAAAATTTGCATTATTAAATATAATGAAGCAGGTGTTATAAAGAATTTTTCTCTATCATTGAAGGATTTAAAGTGAAAAATAATAGCAGAAAATACACTCTACAATGTCCTTTTTTCAATTTTTTTTTACAAATTATCTTATTTTATTCAAATTCTAATTAGTTAACCAATGTACTAAAACTATGTAACTACTGAAAGTACTTAAATTTGGAATTATATGTTTATGTTCGAGTTAAACACTGCTATCTACGAGTTAATTTTAAATATATTATATACATAACAATAGAATTAAATTAAAAATCGACGTATAAATTAGAATTATGTATCTTACAACTAAAGGATAATTAAATTAAATAAAAGCATTGTTGATCTTATTAAACGATTTAATTTTTATAGCTCAGAAACCAAATCCATCACTTTTAGCAAAGGAAAATCATCATCAAAATTATATGTTAATTTATATTATTAAAAAAAGTATCAAACCTTTGTATTTTAGTCCATGATTTTTTAAAGGTAACATTTAAATTCAAAGTAAACAATTATTAAATATTTACTATATAATACTAACAAGTAAGAAAATATTAATCAATCATGTGTCTAATTTACATATCCTTCGTTTAAAGCTGCTCAGTTTATTTTGTTCAGCAGAAAATGAATAATGAGTTATTCAAATTGTTTTTAAGAGTATTAAATTTAATACAAGCGATAAATATTTAGCTAATTGAACAATGCAATAGAAATATTTTAAAATCCATTACAAATTTTTATTTGATTAATGGCTGGTAGTCAGATTTTTCTTTTATGTAACTTACTACATTCGACCGTAGACGTTTATTTTGATATTTAATCATAATAGATAATGTCTCTTAGCGATAGAAAGTGCTTATATGGCCGACGACAGAGATACAATCTAACTACCGATCCGGATAGATATAAAGTTTTGCATGGCTAAGCAGAAAAGTTTCGAGAGTGCAATTTATATTTGCTTATTTATTTGTATTAATACACTTATACAGAGTTATTTTACTCATTTAATTGGAAAGTATACTAAGTTTCCTATTTTTAAAATAGTAGTAGACCACGAATGGTTTTTCCTATTATCCACGTTGATTATTTAAAAATATCATGTCATTACACTAATAACAATCGTGTGTATTTAATTGTATTAGATATTTATACGAACCGAAGGCTCTAAATAACTGACCGAATTTCGTGTCCAAGATAACACTCTATTACAAGTATACAGGCAAGTATCAATTAAAGCTACCCCACTCGAAAACAGATTACTTCGCCTGTGCTAATCACCATCTGGAGATTAATTTCGCAACGAAGCAGTTCGAACAAAATTAGTTGGTTTGATGAAGTGGTTACGCACAAATCTGATACTAGATAAAATTCGCATTAATCAAAACATAAATTTTAAAACATATATAAATTTGAATAAAATTTGATAGTTTAATACTAAAATTATCAATTTCCCCACATATATCTTTTTCCTTAATTTTACTTAAACATATTTCGTTAAAATTAAATAAAATATCGTGTTTAATACTTCTATTATCGTCTCCCTAGTTATAAAGGTTACTTTATATCTTATCTAGTTATTTCATATCTTCGTAACTGACTATTTAAGAGAGCTTAATAAAGGGATTTCTCCAATTTATAATCTTTAAATGAAAGATTTTGGATATTTTCGACTGGGAATACTTTAGTACCTAAGGGAATCCAAAAAGCTTTTCTTGTGTCTTCGCTAATACTATCAAATTTGTTTTGTGATCTCAAGAGAAATGAGGTATACCTGATGGCTGATCTACCGTTGCCGAAATGACCGAGAGAGATTTGTTCCTTCTAACTTAACACAATGAAGATATATGCTTCTCGGAATTATTTAAAAATGTTTTGAATCAGCAGTTATAGCAGTTAACTGCAATTTATTGGACGATTCACGTTTTTACAAAATATTAATTTCATTCGATAGCATAATAAATTACTAACGATAAAAATCACCTAGCAAATAAAATAAATGATAACTTACAATAAGTTATTAATGGCGGCTGAAAATGTTTCTCTATAGATCAATGCCATCTATTGGCAAGTAAAAAAAAATTTTCGAAACTCTCTTATTATGTTGCATTATTTAAAACCTGTGAAGAAATGTGAAGTTGAGAAAGAGTATATAAATCGGCCATCTAAAACTTATATTGCAGCATTCATAGCTTTTTATAACCAGAAAGTTTTATATGATTTTTTTCGCTCTTTATTTTTCTTATGTTTATTTGTGATGCTGAGAAACATTCGAGATGATGGATGACGGTAATATCAAACCACTACAGCACGGTAAATAGCAAAGTGAACGTATCGAACGCACTCGAATCGATTATTTATCGCAACAGCCATATTTCTGGCTTTCGAAGTTGGTTTTCCACTTTTAAACTGATGAAGTAGATAAATATCTATTTCATTGGTTCTATCGAAAACAAACGCATATACTTGAATACTAAAAGCAAACATACGTGTTATAAACTGAACAGGTGTACTTCATTTATTTAGGAGTATTTCTATAAATCATTTGGATTACTATCAGGAAACTGAAATTACTATTTATATAGGCCCTATATATATATTAAAATTTCACTGATTACTTATCTAGATTATGAGGTGTTATGGTCGATACCTACTCTATAAAGAAACATGGAAAATTTAAATATAAAGGCTTGCTTTCTCGATATTACAGTAGTCTATATTTGTTTCTACATTTGAAAAAGATATGTGTTAATACGCAGTATACTCTGGTGCATTCAAGTTTTTTATAAAATAATATTTTATTATAAAAAAATGAACCGCAGCTCATAATAAATTGAATTCCTTCTGTTTAGAAAACTAAATCAAAAACAGTATTGTTTGTTAGTTGTTTTACACTAGTTTTCTTTATACAAGTATAAGGGTATTTATAAGGTTTTGTATTTGTTATGCAGTTTGCAATATCTACATTACTGCTGTTTGATAAAGTCAAATTTAAATTAAAATGTTTAGGACTAAATATATAGGTGAACCGATTAATTAATTAATTAATACTGTACTACAAGCGATCGATAAGGAATATACTAAAGCGCCATCTTATTAACAACTTTTAAACTAAATTCAATTTTCTAGTTATATTGTTTTAATTTAAAAAAATATCAATAAAATTTACGTCAAACTTAAATCTGTATAATATCAATATTAAAACACTTTTTTTCATTTTTTCTTCTTTTATTTAAATACATTATTATATATACACGGATAGATGGCGACACTTATCCAACTAAATTACAAAAATAGGAACTGAAATAAAGAATTTAATTGATCAGTTTGTTTCAATTGACGAATTCATTAAACTGTTTTATCATTATAAACATACTTTGTAATTTATTTTTTAAACACGTAGATTTTTCAAATAAAATATTTATATAGCAAACAATAATACTCAAAACTATATTAAAAAAATATTTATTCCCGCATTACCTTGCATACAGAAATACATATTTTTGAGTAAATATTTTATCTACTGCAGTACGTATTTAGGCTTAGATATATAATATATATCTCTTAATTCCGCATTCCAATGATCCGATAGTTCTTATCTACAAAAAAATAAGATAAGTCTATGGTTTTCACATTCTTTTTCACTTATTTATTCCCTATTAAAATTACAAGAAAATATAAAGTTAATGATAATATATTAAATTCTATAAAATTAATTAGCAGCCCTGTTTAATGTAACTGTAATATTTTCATATATTGATATTAAAAGTATAACATTCTGTATAAATTTACATTTTATATGTGATTTTAATTGCATAATTTTCAATAAATGATTCAATAACTGATTCCATTAATCTCAATGCTCTATTTTTCTAGTTTAATAAAGAAAAGGCAATCAAATTTCACGTCTTACTTTGTTAAATAAGACATTCAATTGAGTTGCATTTCATTTAGAAATGACATTTCTAAATAGCTACAACATTTAAAATTTACAATTAAACAAGTATTAAATGTTCTATTCAATCACATTTGCATTTGTAACGAAATAGTCTGCTGCAGGATCCAATAAAATAAGTTTTATTTAATAGTTTAAAGAATTTTAGAAGACAATAGACACGTGCTTATTCCTTCTGTTGGGACAATGCCATTTGAATTTATTATGTTAAATTACTACTAGTACATTTAGAAATACAACAATCCTTTAAGCTCTGACATCCAATTAACATCACTCACTGTGTGTAACTTGTTTTTAAAATAAGTAAACTCTATTCAAAGAGATTTAAATCTCTTTGAAGGGAGTTAAATCCAAGCAGAGATTATGCATGGATTCGAATCATTTCCAAGAAATAAAAAAAAATAAAGAAACAAAATTATTATTTATGAATCGATGGAGTAGGCCTACGAATATAATTGAATATTTGAGATGTTTAAACTAGTGGGAAGATGATTATAGAATAGGAATGTCAAGATTTATAGTAGCAATTAATTTTGGAACTTATAATATGAACAATGTTTCTATATTCATATTCTAAATTCAATTGTTTAGGAGAGGGGTGTTTATATGAGCGAGAAAGAAGAAAAAATGAATTGTTTCTTTCGTTTTTTACACGTAGTTATAACAACAGTTTCTATATTATAAAATAATCAAAATAATAAATTTATCGTGGACAAAAATTGATATAACAATAATTTATTCTGAATTGTTCACACGTAGTATTAGGCAAAGATGTTCTTTCGATTAGAACTGTCATTGTTAAGTGTACTGACATGGGTGTAGCCACACAATATTATGCAAGACAGTGATCCTCCTCACATCGTGACAAAAGCCGATTCATTCACATTTCATGGAGGATGATTAATTGGGTTTCCTGTAACACGTTAACCACAATCACCAGATTTAAATTTATATGAGCTTTGGTTTAGGAGTTTAAAATAATGTATATAATGGAAAGAATGGACTAAAAGAGGGCCATAACACTAGTATTAGCATTATTTTATGTGAAAGCGTGTAACAAATAACATCTGACACAACTTCGAAACTGTTTTTACCCGATACTTTCGTAGCTAATCAATTTTGTTAAAAACAATAACCTTTCAAATTTTGCGGCAACGAATTTGACAGTTCTGATGAATAAAGTACCACGCATCCACTTATAGTTCGTTAAAAATTATTTTTTTTATTTGCATTAATTTAACCTTTTACACGCGAAGTACTTCATAAACATATATAATTTGATGTGTTTTGATGAATAATAATCATTATAAAAACATGAAAAAATATGAGAATTTTAACGGAAAGAATAAGCTAATAATTTACAAGGAAGAAAATCATTTATAAATAACGGAAAATTATTAAAATTAATAATAAATTTAGATTACAAATTTTCTAACGTAAACAATTCAAATAACTATTAGAATTCAATTTTCTAGTTATATTGTTTTAA